CTGGTTAAATAGAGACTGAAACAGGTGGATCAGACGAGCGGTAATGAGATCTGGACTAGGGGTGTAAATAATAATCGTTTTGTATCGATGCATCGATCCAACAGCCGATGATCCGAAGCATCGACACGTCCGCAAGAGAATCGATTCATGTCTTTTTTGTTTTCCTCTGGTCTATTTTTATCCATTTGCTCCTGGATGTAATTCTTCCTCCCGTGCTGCGGTGGCGCTAAACCTCCTACTTCGCTTACAGCAGTGTGTTGCAGTAAGCTTGACACAGACATTTTTGATTTATGCTCAATACTGAAGCGTGGTCTGAGTTACACGCTGTGGGTCTAGATACGGCCGAGGCGGTGAGGAAGTGGGGGCGAGTTTAGTCCTACGACGGAGGGACATGAGGGCCAAAAAGAGCGGAGATCCAGGTGGAAGATGGGTTCCAGAGTTCTCGCGCACCTCGCTCTTCTAGCGGGTGAAATTTCAAGAGTTGTTTTCCGCAATTTCAGTTATAAAAACAAAACAAGCCAGCCTCCTCTGCGGCACTGTCTGCGATCACCTACAATGTGGCAGATGCAGTGGAGCGTCTGTGGAGGGGGCGGAGACGTCTGGAGCAGAGGTATTGCATTGCACTCATTGCACTGATTTTGTGCAGTATTTTTTAAAGAAAGGCCTTTAAGAATCTATAACGCAGGGGCATTATTATTTTTCAGTAAATGAGGTTTTAATAGGAATAGGTGGAGTGCAACTTTTCTACTTCTGTTATTTGCTGTTGATTCTCAAAAAAAATACATAGCGATATTACAGCTTTCATTGATGTATTTCAAAATTGAAAAGTTGTCTAGCCTGTAGGGTGTTAAAAAAAAAAAAAAATAATGGAATCGTATCGTGGTGTATTCTTGAGTATCGAAAATAATCGAATCGTTGGGTCAGGAAATCGATACTGAATGGATCACCCCTAATCTGGGCGGTGATAAGCAGGTGAGTGAAATGAGTGATTAGACCAGATATCTACCAAGATCATGACATAATTCCTCAGAATTTCTGTGTTTATCATACCCTTTTAT